ACAAAGGAGCCACACCTTACCAACATTCTTTTCACTTATTAAACATCCTCCTTACACAGAAGTTCCACTAACTATGCTGTTTCCTCAATACTATCTCCCTTCTTTTCTAGGCCATCAATTTATCTGGAAGAAAGTAGTCCCTTTTGTTCCTAACTTCTTTCTATTATTTGTATGTAGAAACACACACTTCCTACTTAATTTAAGCTTTCTTTGCAGCCTAAAAGCAGGAGATGTGAGCACATATTGTGACTTAAACTGAAAAGAAAGTACTGCTGACTATTAAACAAAAAAACAATCATCTTTGAAACACAACTCACAGGCTAGATAAAAACAGAACAGCAGGGCTTGTCACAGACTTCCCTGGATTAGTCAAAGTTTAAATGACTCCTGACAATTTTACTCATCTCCAGTCTTCTGGACCAAATCCAGACAGCCTGCATACTTCAAACAAAATGAAGTCTGCTCTTTAGAGATGGTCTACTTAGACATTTGGTTAGACTTGTGCCTCCATCTGCATACTTCAGGAAATGAAATTCTTTTCAGGGAGAAGGTGCAATGAAGAAAACAGAAGGCAGTTCAAAAGAAATAAAAAAAAAAAGAGGTTCTGTATCACTTTTATCTAATTAAAATAGCACTGGGAAGGGGGGGGGTGGGGGGTGGGCTGATAGCTTAGAATCACAATACTGCACTTTTGTGGGTGCATCACTAGGTTAGAGTAACAAGCCAGTAACGCTACAGAACTAATGCTGAAGTCAGTAACAATCCACTATCACAAAAAGCAAAACACATCACCTCCCCAGAACATCCCAAGGAAGGCCTGCTCAGATGCATCTGATTCATTCTGCTAGTCTATCCTGATTGATTCTAGTCAGGTTATTGGCCCCAGCTCAATACAGTTCTGGGCAGAGCTCTTCAAATCCCGCTTTTACCAGGCTGTTCCAGCACCAGCAGTCTCACTGTTCAGTGTATGTTATGCCCTCTTAACTCCAAAATAAGCAGTTAGTGACAATTACTATAAGAAAAAAATAGGCACTTCAAGAGAATTTTAATGACCAGCCCAGAAAGGTAATGATCTGCTTTTTTTTTTTTTTAAATCCTCTTAAACAATACACACATTTTCAAAGAACAACAGTTGTTCTGTCTTTCTGAAGTTAAACAGACTCTCTGCAAACAGAACATTGCTATTTTGGTAGAGATAAAGGGAAGAAGAAAAACAATGGCTTTGTGGTGTGAAAACTAAGGGCTTGTTCATTTATTCTCTTGCTAATTTTCTGAAGGTTTTCTAAGTATATATTGCCTAATTTAGGTTTCAGATGATAAGTCGTGATGACATTTCTTCAGTTACCTACACATGGTTATCATCTTAGTCTGAGGTAAAGAACAGCATCAACTTCCATTGGTTCTTTATGAGAGAAAACACATACACATCATCCCTGTGAGCCATGCAGCACAAAAGATACTGATAAGGTATGACAGTTTCACTCAGAGCTCCTATTTCGAAGTTTGAATGTGATAACATAATACATGACTTATGGTCCTCAAATGAAAAAAAACAACACAGGACTGCTTTAGATATGAAACTGAGAAATAAAGAAAACATAGGTCCCATTCTGTCTGTAAGGTGAGGAAAAGATCACATGAATCTAAAACTACATACTGCATATTTTGAATGTTTGCAGAACTTTTCTTCTTTAATAAGAACAATTCAACATGGCCATACATTCATATCGTAGGTAAACCCTATAGTATGAATAAGCATTACATTTTTTTTCCACAATATTTTCAGAAAAATTACTTCATTATATTTTATAAAATATAAAGAAGTCTTAAAAGTGGTCATGAGATTTTACTGTTCATTTTGCCCACTTATGCATCTGAAACACCAAGTCCTGCTTTTACCAGCTATAAAGGATGCCTGTGAAAACTTCAGGGTATGGCTGCTTCTCTATCCACATCTGATGAAAAGCAGCTGTGCTGACTCTAAAAACCTTCTTTTATCAGAACTACTATATACTGAAAGTTATAGACGGTAATTCTTTGAACCATGCAAGAAATACAGCTCTCACACTAAACAGAGTTGAAATCTCATTTGTTTGATCCTAAGTCATCATTAGGCCCACAGCCTGAATATTTCAAAGCAGAGTGCCTTTATTTTTCTACCACAAAAGGCCAGAAGAAACAGCCACCCACTTGAAAATCCTCTTTACCCATGATAAAAACAGCCATAACATTATTATAGCAAGAACAGTAGTAACATTTTCCATCATTTCTGACCAAGGAATTTCAGCAATTTTTACAAAGGAGCAGAGGTCAGTGTAGCTACATACCCTGCCTTTATTGCTTCCCTACTACATTCAGGCATCCATGATACTAGTGAAAATTAGGACAGCACAGATGCACCCGTTCCAAAGAAGTGCTCCAGCTAAGGAAATATCTACTTTACCAACAAAAAAAAAATCAACTAAGTGAAGTCTGAGGAACAAGCAAAACCACAGCTCAACCAATAGGCAGCAAATTACCTACTTAATTTAGTAGCAGACTGATACAAAACCAGAAATAGTGGAAGGAGGGAAATAAAAGGTGTTAGGAATACCTATCAGTTGTTACCAGCTACAAATTCACTATCACAGCTCTGCAGATGCCCCTTTTAGGGAGCCTACAGACACTGGAGAAGTTTATCATGCTACCTGCTCTAGTACTTTCTTCTCAGCAGAATTATATTTGGTCATTACAGTTCCTCAAAAAAGCAAAAAAGGATTCTTTTTCCAAAATCAAGTTTAATACTTAGGTCCCGCAAGCACTGCAATCTATCACTAAACAGAATAATACTTCCTATATTTAAGCAAAGAAGGAAATTATTTGAAGTTTCACAGAAACAAACCCTGTAGATGTATCATAATTTATAAGGCAGTTATCACAAATGCTACTTTCTTTTCTTTTTTGTGGTGATTCTTTCTTGTTTCACAAAGAGGTTTAAAATTATTACATCTCAAACGAAAGCCTATAAAAACATTCTGAAAAATATAACGTGCTTAAAAAGAGTTTTCTTGGTTTCACAAGCCTTTCTTGTTTCATTTTTATGAAGATCTGAGAAATTAAAATTAGCATTTGAAAGTATTCAAAAGATTGTTTAAACTTCACATTTAGGTGTCAGATTCCACAGGTGCGATTTCTCACTAAATACAGTGAAACCTTCCTAAATACAGTTCAGTCTTGCTAAGCAACCTCTGTTATTAATCAACAGTAAAATCCAGTTTGCCTAGAACTGAAGATAGACAATCAACTAAAAGAGTCTGAGATGAGTACAGAAAGAACACCCTATCTACTTGTTCTCTTACCTTAAAATATTGAAGGTATCCATTAGAGGTTCAATAATTTCTGCTTCAATAAAGAGTCTTAACTCATACTATTTCTTTGTGCAGTTATCTGTTCTGCCATTAACACAGTTCACTCACATTAGAGATCTTGTGGCTTCAACTGTACCAAGTGTTAATATAAAGAGCACAAAGTGTGCTGCTGCAAACATACCAGCAACAGGGCTAAGGGACAAGATTTCATTTTCAGTAAAGCTAGTAGTTCTCAATATAGAAAGGAAAAGTATGCTGGCACAGCATTTTGCTTCTCTTGAACTGAACTGCTTACAAGACAAATGCTACTACATCAGAATACAGTTTTCTTACAGAATTATAAAAAAAAATGCAGATTTTGATTTGGATTCTTACTCCATAAGAAACACTTCATTTACTCATATATCATTGTTGTAAATTTATATCAGTCAGTTTGCTATTGATACCTACACAAAGCAATCTCTCAAGAAGTATTTTGAATTGAACCAGATTAAATGCATTTTTACCCAAGATATTTTACATATATGTAATGCATCTCTCAAGATCTTATTAGGCAAAATGTCAAGATAACCCTTCAATTTCTAACTCTGCTTCAAATAAATCACAATCAGAAACCAGAGTTTCCAAGTAAGCACTTAGACTTGAAAATTATTAAAGAAGAGAAAAAAATTTGAAAACCCACACATTCATTAAATAAACATACCAAATTCAAATGTTGTTTAAAGCAAACACATGCCTCAAAAATTCTTGCATTCAGAGGTTTAATTTTAAACACACAGAATCACAGAACCTTAGAGGATGGAACGGACCTCTAGAGATCATTTAATTCAACTCCCCTGCCAAACCAGATTGCACAGAGAAAGAAGTTAATTCTAACTGATTAGTATCTCACCACAGTTAAATGTGTTAACCCTTAAATCTTCCATAAGTCTACCAGTAATTATCTAACAACAACTGCAGAGATCAGGAAAACATACTGAAAATCATTTTACCAGCCAGTAGCTTCTGAAACCTATACACTTTTCAACCTACAGGCCTCTGAGAACCATGCTAAGTAGGAAGAGACACCAAAATAATGTTATTTTTCACACTGCAATATAAATTCACACTCTCTGTTTAAAGAAAGAGCATTAATTTTATAATGTTCTGTTCTGAATTATTTTGCTGATTTTTTCCAAGTCAATATTCACCAATGAAGGACCTTTGCGAAAGCCACAGTAAAACCAGGAATAAAAACTAAAATTTGGCGAGGATGGAGGGAGTAAAACTATTAATTTTATTAATAATTTGTTTATTAAAGTCCACGTTTATTGCCTATCAATGGCTATCTGTAAGCATAAATTAGAGGAGAGCTATTTCTCTTTTACAATCTAAGATAGTTCCAGGTGAACACCACTTATACCCCAGGTGTTACCATCGGTTACACAAAACTACACTAAGTATTTTGTTGCTGGTTTTGTTTTGTTTGAACAGTTGTGACTCAACTCAATTCATGACTCAATTCAAGTTCCTTGAATATCCCAAGCTAACTCTTGGGCTATCATATAATCACTGTTCTTTTTTAGTAAAATAAATCTCTTCCATGACATTACTTAAACATATTTATTAGCATGGTAGTACTAAACATAATTAATATTTGATGCAGTGTATTACCATTCTGTAACCCCATCCACAGTTGCTTATGATCCTTTTTTTGCATCTCATTGATGACTTGACTTTTGTGCTTTAAAGCATCTGCTTCTTTTATGCAAGCCATAAAATGAGCTTCAATCACATCCTTAGAATGGCAGTGCAGAAGATCCTTTTCTGGAAAATTCTACAAAGAGAAAGACAGATCAAGAGAAATAAATGTATCACAGACCTCAGAAGTTGGAGAATAAAAGACTATTTTAATCCGCTTTATATTTATACAACAGAAACAGACCGCAACTTTCTACTTAGTAAAGATAACATCTATTTTCTTACTGATGAAAGAAAGGTTTAGCAGTGGAAAATGTTCCAAAAAAAAAAAATTGAAGTTAAACAATTTTTTGTAAAACTATAAATTACTCTAGCTTACTCAACTTCAACTTGTTTAAATACACAGGTAGATGTACTTTGTCCCTTACCTACCTTCCAAATTCAGGAAAGTGTTTTAATACGCTTTCAAGCATATGTTCAATTCTCTAGCGATTCCTACCATCTCTCAATGAAGTTTATGTAGAAAAGTTTCCTCCAGTTACCATCCGCATATATGAATTACAGCATATAGGTCATCAGCAAACATTGTTGGAAAGCTTTATCCAATTTTACTTAATACATGTGTTTATTGTTAGACTGTGTAACATGATTCCATGTCCTTTTTATTTCATTAGCATTGGTGCAGAGCATT